TTGGGGCTGGGAAAAAGAGAAAAGGGGAGTTGATCTCTGTTTTTTCTTTCTTTCTTTTTTTAATCCTGAAACTCTTTTCCCCAAGGAGGTTTTGCCCTAGCCCACATCGAACTCCTTGAAACAGCCACGTCAGCATGACCAGTGGTCCGGGGCTGACCTGCGGTCTTAGGCCCCCGCCAGCCCCTGTGCCGAGGCCTGTTCCTTTGAAATAGCCTTTCTGCTCAGTCTCCAAGGCCCACCCCACGAGGCCCTGACCTCCCCTACTCCCCACTCTTCGTAGTTTCCAGTCCCCTCTTCCACTTCCGCCCAGACCTTGGTGTCCCTGTCCTGCATGGAGACGTCTGAAACGGATGGTTCAAGCAAAGAGCGTTTTGTTCCAGGCTGAAGCAGGCTGAGGGAGCCCGGCAGTGCCGAGGCGGGAACGGGCACCTCTGTCCGCAGACTGCGGCCTCGCAGTGTGCGGGCTCCCCAGGGCCAGCACCACCTTTTCCTGGGAAGGCGGCCAAGGCCTGCGGCCCCGGGTAGGAAATCCCCAGTGAGAGGCCCTTCCTGAGCGCCACAGAAAATGCTTCTTTTCATCGACTCCAGTCCCCTTCCGTTCTAGCGTGAAGGCCCAGTCAACCCCCCTTCCTGGCCTTCCACACTCCACTCACATGCCAAGTGCCCCACCCGGCGCCTGCCGGCTCCTGCACCCATCCTCCTCCCCACCACTGGGGCCACCAGCTCTCCCTCCAGCCAGCATCCTGGGACCTCCCAGCCCACTCTTCCAATTGGCGACCCAGCACCTCCAGGCAGCTCCTGTCGGGTTAAACAGAAAGGGTTTGTTGACTTTGCCAGATTAGCAAGGGGAGCAAATTCCATGGATGCCACAGTCCCAGAGTCTCAAAGTTCAGACCTCCTGTTTGATAGCAGGAGCAAGGTGATGGAGGCGGCCTGAGATCACACGAAAGAATAACAAAGACAGCCATTGCTCTTGATGGAGCAATTACCAGCTGGCACCCAACGGTCTCTGCCCTCTCTCGAACTTCTAACATAATCCTCACGGCAACCTCAGCAGCAGGTACTGCTGGTAGCCCCGATTTACAGGAAGTAGATGCCCAGAGATACTAAGTAACTGGCCCACGACCCCAGGACAGTAGGAGGCAGAGCAGGGTGCACCTGGGGATGGCATCCCTGTCCCCACCCTCGCCTCTCTGGGCGTGCCCTGGGGGCAGGAGGAGACTTAGATTCCAAACTGGTTCTGCCACTCCCCAGGTGGGTGACCTCAGGCCAGCTACACTCTTTTCTAATTGGAAAAATTAAGAGGAAGAGGTGATTTCTTGGGGCCCTTCCACGTGGTGATGCCGTTACTTTCCCCCCTCAATTATAAAGGCAGTCAGAAACATCTCCAAACTTTCTGGACCTGGGGTCAACCACAGGCAAAGGGATGGAGTGCGTGGCAAAAGTGATCGTCGGTGACCCCTCAGGGTTCCATCAACCATGTTTCTCTCTGTCCAAACCAGGCCTCTGGAGCAATCCCTGCTAGTGCTTCTGTGCCCCCAAAGCCTTGGGTGGATGAAAAGAGGGTTTGCTGTTGTTGTTTAGTTGCTAAGTTGTGTCCGACCCTTTTTTTGACCCTATGAACTGTAGCCCTCCAAGCTCCTCTGTCCCTAGGATTCCCCAGGCAAGAATAGTGGAGTGGGTTACCATTTTCTTCTCCAGGGAGAAGAGGAGTGGTGTTTCATGCTCTGATCTGAAACAAAGTTGTAAATTTGGTTTTGGAAAATGGGGGCCCCCTTCCTGCTAGGAACCCCTCAGTGACTGCCCATTGCCCACAGGAGGAAGCCCGCATCCTTAGGCTTGGCTTCAAGGAGAGCCACTTCAAGCACCCGCTCGCCCTCCCACCTTGGTCCCTAGAAACTCATGAATACATCCCTTGCCAATTTTGCTTGAGCTGGCAGCATCTTAAGAGTTAACCTGATTGTTGGTGGAAGATTCGTAGCATTCTATTTGGCTGATTTTAAGATGCACTCTTTTTCTCACCCTAACACCTTACTCATTTAAACACTGCAATTGATGGCAGGCTGCTGTTTATCTGACAGCATTTTTTCTTTTGTTGTTTCGTGAAGTCATGATGTCACTTCCAATTGAAGGCTTCTCAGGTTTGATGGAGTGTGGTAGGTAGCGTTTTCCACAGTAGAGCTCTGGAGGCTTGGCCAGGAACTAGGAAGCTGCTTGCGCATTCTCTTGAGTCTTCCCTCCTGACCACCTCCCCCAATCAGACTTGGGTCCTGGTGTAACAGGAGTGATCTCTGGAAGCCTGTATGGACCTCTGCTTGCAACCCTGTATGATATTTAAAATGTTTAGAGACTGGATCCATCAAAACAAAAGATAGGGACTTCCCTGGTGGTCCAGTGGCTAAGATTCTGTGTTTCCAATACAAGGGGCCTGGGTTCCATCCCTGGGAACTAGATCCCACATGCTGCAAATAAGACTCGATGCAGCTAAATAAATAAATAAATATTTTAAAAAAGAAGAAGATAGCTGAAAACCATTGGCATGTCTGTCCTGGAGCTTACTCGATCCCTACCCTCACTGTGGTACTTCTTCCTGATTTTATGGACTGTTGCCAGCACCCACAGGGAACTTGGCTTTTCACCCAGTCCCAGGGGAATATCCCTAGTTTTCCCTAGTTATCCCTAAGCCAGGGATAGTTATCTCAGTCTCTTTTGCCCTTACTGGCTTACAAGATGAGCAGGGGGGTTAGTTTACTATTGCTGCCATAACAAATGAGCATAAAACAACACAAACTTATTTTCTTATGGCTGTATAAGTCAGAAGTCGGGTATAGATCTCACTGGGCTAAAATCAAGCCTGCAGGGCTGAGTTCTTTTCTGTAGCCCCTGAGCAAGAACTGGTTTCCTTGCTCTTTTAGGTATAGGTAGAATTGAGTTTCTTCCAACTGAAAGACTGAGGTTGCTAGCTATCAGCTGGGGGCCTTTATTAGTATCTAGTGGCCTCTTTCTTACATATAACCCCTGCCCCACACTACCATCTCTGTCACCCAACTGGGTTTATGTGATTATGCTGTTTTGGGGTTTTTTTTTTTTTGATGGGGGTGTTGGCCACACAAGATGGCTTTCGGGATCTTATTTCTCCACAAGAGACTAAACCCATGCCCCCTGCAGTGGAAGTTCGAAGTCCCAACCACTGGACCACCAGGGAATTCCCATATGTGATTATGCTGAACATCCTAGAGATCCAGGATAGCCTCTCCATCTCAAGAATCTTACCTTTAACCTACAAAGTCCCCGTTGTCATTTAAAGTAACAAATTCACAGGCTCCAGGCAATAAGAGTATAATCATCTTTGGAGGCCATTGTATGCCTGCTATAGCTTGTGACCCACTGTGGCTGATGACATACAGAGGAAATCTGCTGGGGCTTGGAGAAAGATTTTGCTCCCTGATACAATGACTTTGGGGCTTCCCTGGTAGCTCAGCTGGTAAAGAATCTGCCTGCAATGCGGGAGACCCAGGTTTGATTCCTGGGTCAGGAAGATCCCCTGGAGAAGGGATAGGCTACCCACTCCAATATTCTTGAGCTTCCCTGGTGCCTCAGACAATAAAGAATCTGCCTGCAATTCGAGAGACCTGGCTTCGATCCCTAGGTCAGGAAGATTCCCTGGAGAAGAAAATGGTAACTCACTCCAGTATTCTTGCCTGGAGAATCTCATGGACAGAGGAGCCTGGCAGGCTACAGTCCATGGGGTCGAAAAGAGTTGGACACGACTGAGTGATTAAGCACAGCACAGCATAATGATTTTGAGGTTTGCCCCACTCTTACCTACTTTAATTGAGGAGCTGTGAGCTGCGGCAACCATCATACCATGCTTGGCATCAACGCCAAGAACAAAAGCTGACACACGGAGAACAGTAGTGGAAATATCAAAATGAAAAGAGTGCTTGGCTTTTTGATGACAATGTTGAGCCACTGAATCAACGTAGCCTATTAACCTACCCCTGCTGGCCCTCTCTTTAGGGCTGGAGGAGGACCCTTTATTTCTGCTTATGGCTGGGGATTAGTCTTAGAGGAACAGATCGCCCATAGTCCACAATGTCGTGTGCCAGACTCTGTACGGATGGGAGAGTTTGACCATAAAGAAGGCTGAGTGCCAAAGCATTGATGCCTTTGAACTGTGGAGCTAGAGAAGACTTGAGAGTCCCTTGGACTGTAAGGAGATCAAACTAGTCCATCCTAAAGGAAATCAACCCTGAATATTCATTGGAAGGACTGTTGCTGAAGTTGAAGCTCCAATACTTTGACTACCTGATGCAAAGTGCTGACTCACTGGAAAGACCCTGATGCTGGGAAAGATGGAGGGAAGGAGGAGAAGTGGGAGGCAGAGGACGAGATGGTTAGATAACCCCTGACTCAGTGGACATAAATTTGAGCGTCAATTTCTAGATAGTGAAGGACAGGGAAGCGTGGTGTGCTGTAGGCCTTGGTGTCTCGAAGAGTCAGACATGACTTGGCGACTGAACAGTAACAACAAATACGGTACATCCTGGTTGAAAGGATTGTCTGAATTGCACCTGAACTTGCTGTATCCTTCTTTTTTTTTATTTTTTAAAGAGTTTATTGTATTTAATACATTATAAAATTTGAAAAATTGTAGGAAAGCAGCAGACTCAAACTGGAGCAACTCTAACAAGGAATAATTCTGGCCCCTTTGCAAAACTGATCAGTTTAAAAACAAAGTAATGTTCACATCGGTGAGGCGGACAAAAAAGTGTGACTTCTGTACAAACTACATTTAAAATTTCATGTCTCGCGTCTTTCAAATGCGGTGTGCTCATGAGAGTTTTTTGTTTTTTTTTGAAGTTCTGCTCCGTCCCCCATCTAAAGAGAGACATGAAACTTCCATATGCAAAGAAATGCGATTCTAGGTGTTTTTGTTTTCAAAGGAAAAAGAAACAATGGATGGCTGTTGGCAATGGAAACCGTAAGGAGATTCATCCTCATTGCTCATGGCTTGTTTATTGGTCAGAGGCCTTGGGAGGCCCAGGACACTTCACGCCCATCACAGCACCAACTGTAGCTACCACCTTTTTTCTTTTTTTTTGCGTTTCCTACCTTTTGACATATATATATATATATTTATATATTTTTTACACCTTGAGGATATCACTATTCCAATTGTTCCCATATGAATACAGGTGTGGTCTCTATTGGATATAAATGTGTCTTTTATTCAACTTTAGGTCCAGGACTCGGTTTGCTGTCCCAACTGCACATAAATGTCCCTTTTTGTGTTTGCGTTATTTGTGGTGTATGTTTTTCTCCTTTTGGCAGAAGAAATATGTCCATCTAGTCCAGAGGCTCTTGCTTTATCCGGATGACAGAGGGTCCACGGGGCGTCCGCCTCATTTCCCGCCGCAGGACGTATTCGCTGAACCTAAATGAGTCCACGCCTCCCCCACAGGAGCCCACGACTTCAAATCCTCTTTGCTGCAACCTCTCGAGGACCTGGACTGAGTTGAGGTGACAGTAACCATTCAGTGGAAACCTGATGACGTGCGTCGAGTCGTGATTCCAGCTCGCATTGACGGAGTTGCACATCACGTCGCCGATCTCTGGGAACACTTCTTCTATCAAGGATTTGTCTCCGCTGAGCGTGATCCTCTCTCCGAGGTCTGGGGCCACACGCACCATGAGGCACTCGCAGGGCCTTGAAAAGCGACCACTTTCTCTGTCCTGCTTCCATCTTTCCATCTCCAACAGCATGGGCTGAAGCTGAAAATATTTTGCCTCTTCATATAACAAAGTGTAGTCCTTGAAATCATCAGGAATGAGGAGTTTTGATGTTCGTAGAAAATTCAAGATATATCTGAATATCTGTCCATCTCTGTCAGTGAAATAGTGCTGTTTGAGACTGTCGAAAACAATGGGCTCTGTACCATCAAAAAGTCTTCCGATTCTTGACTTGGGGTATTTGGTGAGGGTGGCCAGGCTGCTGGTGTACATGTGGCCCCCCACGTCAATGTGGACGGGTGCGTTGGATTTTGTGAGCTGTGCTGGAGTAGGAATGCCTTGATTGTTCAGTGGAGATGCAGGAGATCTAGTGATCAGAGGTCTTGACATATTGGGCCGACTGTCCTGGGGCACAACTGTTGAACTAGATAGCATTAACCACATGTCCAGGCAAGACTGGGAATGCACGTCCTTCTGAAACTCCGCATCTACTGTGAATGGGGTGGTAACTGAGCTTTTACGCAAAATGTTGACCATCTGTGTGGTGCTTTTCTCCGTGCTGAATTAAACAGAGCCCCTCTGGCTGAGTGCCGCTCGGCCTTGGCGGGAGCGAGGGAGGGCCGGCTGGGAGGGCGGGGCGGTCTCGCTTCTCTAAGTAATGCCCGAGGAGTAGTGCCCCTTCCACCACCCCCTCATTGCCCCCCGGAGCTGGGGGTTCGGGTAGGCAGCTGCACCGGGCGGGCCGCGGATGCTGCTTCGAGAAGCCCGTGTCTGGGGCCGCCTGGAGCGGAGCGGAGCAGGCAGGTTCTGCTGTATCCTTCAAACCTGGTGACTTGGACTGCTGGTTGCCCTCACAGCAGCTCAGTCTCCCCAGCACTGCTTCAGGAAGTCTCAGCTTTTCCCTCCCTGTTAATCCTGTATTTTCAGATTCACATCTTACCCACACTCTGCCCAGCTTGATACTTCTGGTGTATCATAATATCCAGACATCCCAGACTGCTGGCCATTCCCTGAATAGTCCTTCCACTTCTATATGCTTCTACACTGTCCCTTCAGGCTGTTCCCTCAATTGGAAATATTCTTTCTACACTCACATATCTTCTCCATTAAATCCCTGCAACCATATTTTGATGCTATTATTCCCTGGCAAATGATTCAGAAACATCAGGTAATTTATTTAAGGGGACGTGGCCAGCATGTGGCAGAACTGGGATGCGGATGCGGGTCTCTCTGACTTCAATGCCTGTGTCCTCTGACACTCTTCATTTGGCATTTTAGAGAAGACAAGTTATGAACAGCCCAAGTCATGAGGGACTTGTCCCCTTCCACATCTTATAAGCACCCTGAGGACAGGGAGTGAGTCATTTCTTATTGCCTCTCAGAGTTACAGTCAAGGCCAACAACTAACTGCCTTGGGGGTTGGGGCTTGGAGCTCTGATTTATAATGTTTTCTAGTGGGTAAATACCCCCATCGTGACTGATTTCAACATCCCAGTGTGACCTTACTGAACCAGGAACTGGGAAGACTGAACGGTGCACAGCATCATAGGACGTTTGCACTATAGGTTTCCACCAACACTCCCTTCTCCAGGGGATCTTCTTGACTCAGGGATCCAACCCAGATCCACTGCATTGCAGGCAGATTCTTGACTATCTGAACCACCAGAGAAGCCCACAGATAAATAGATGTGAATAATCTCAAGAACACAGATACCCACTCCAGTATTCTTCCCTGGAGAATTCCATGGACAGAGGAGGAGCCTGGTGGGCTCTATAGTCCATGGGGTCACAAAGAGTCAGACATGACTGAGCAACTGACAGTTTCACTTTTTTTTCAATCTCAAGAACACGGATAACAGCAAATGCAGTAAAATCCTTAGGCAGTGAATGAGTTTTGATCATTTCTTAAAATTTGTTTTAAATCCAGTTGCTTTTTTTTTTTTGCTTCTATTTTAATTGTATATAAATTGCTGCTGCTGCTGCGTCACTTCAGTCGTGTCCGACTCTGTGCGACCCCATAGACGGCAGCCCACCAGGCTCCCCCGTCCCTGGGATTCCCCAGGCAAGAACACTGGAGTGGGTTGCCATTTCCTCCTCCAATGTGTGAAAATGAAAAGTGAAAGTGAAGTCGCTCAGTCGTGTCCGACTCTTAGGGACCCCATGGACTGCAGCCCACCAGGCTCCTCCGTCCATGGGATTTTCCAGGCAAGAGTACTGGAGTGGGGTGCCATTGCCTTCTCCGGATATAAATTAATCTTTAGTAATTGTTGTGTTTAACCATAGGCTTGCAAAGTTCCTGAGAACTTAACAATGAGGTTCACACCTGGTTTGAGCTAGCTCCAGCACGCCATTGCTGGAGTCTAGTCCCAGGCTTTGCTTTTAATTGGTTCTAGAATGGTGGTGAGAATGCTAATAAAAAGAACATGCTCATCTACTAATGAGCTTTGAATAGAGCTTGTAACTAGACTTCAATATTCTTTCCCCTGTCTGACAATGTCTTAGTTCCCTCACTCAGACAAAAGGCCAAACAAATAAAAACTAGCTGAGGGTGGAGACCAAGGCACAGCCAAGGCTCCAACTAAGGTCTGCGAAAACTGAACTCTGCCCCATGCCAGGGTGGGGCCCTGGGACTGCTTCCAGTTCAAAACAGTCCAGGGCAACTGGGCTTGAGCAAGTAACTGTCCTCTCTTCATGTTCCCTGCCCACACCCACGGCCAGAGCAGTGACTGAAGAAAAAGTACCAGTCGGGTCGCGGTTTTCTCACATTCCAGAAGGGAAAGCGCCCCCAGGAACTGGGGAGCCTGAAAAGAAGCAACTAGATTGCTCCTTCCAAAGGCACAAAGAAGTGCTGCGAGGGGGGCCGCCTTAACCTTTTGTTCTGGGTGCAGGGCTGACGTCGCTGGAAACTGGAGTGGGCAGGCGCGGCGTGGGGAGGGAGAGGGCCTCTCAGCGCTACCCCTGCCCCGGCCCAGGGGTTGGATTAAGACCATATATGGACTCAGGCTCAGGCCGGCATCGGGGCTCCCAGAAAATTGCATTTTGGGATTAAGTCATTGCAACCAGCAAAAGGGAAGCCCCCAGAAAGGCTGGTCAGCATAAAGGAATCTGGCCAATTGTGGTCTGGCGTGAAGCGATGAGGGACGGGGCGGGGGTGAGATGGGGGCGGGGGTGCAGCCCCTTTCCAGCCAAGCAGCTCTTAGGAAGGAAGGCCGGAGGCCGAGAGCGAGCTGTGGGAGTGACTCTCAGCCACAGTACCAGGGGAGGGACTCGGCAGAGGACCCGCCCCCTTTCTCAGACTCCCTCCTGCCTCGGAGGGACTGGGGCTCTAAAGACTTTATCTCTGATTCAGATGCGGCAAAGAACTCCAAAATCTCAGATGTGGGGTGCAGCCTCCTCGACTCTGGGTGAAGGCGGCTCTGACACTGCTCAAGGCACAGAAACCCTACTAGCCAAGTGAGGGATAGTCCAGGCTCCCAGTTACTCTGGGGTCGAGATGGGTTCACCCCGGGGAAATCCAAGCAAGTGAACCCCCTCTCCCTTCCCCTAAGTCCAGACTAGGTCAGCCCAGGGTGACATAACTGGGGCTTGGGAATCCAGGGGAACAGGAAAGGAGAGGGTGGGTTGACAGTGATCTGGGAAAGTGGTTTTTAAAAGAGGGCCAATAAATTGGATCCAATTTACAAAGATTAATTAACTTGTTTTGCTGTTGTCTCAGCAATTGAGTGGCTTTAACTGTTTTGTTTTTTTTTAAAGGACTAGCTTGAATTATGTAAGGACACTTCTGTCTCTGTGCACCTCTTGATTTGATTCAAAAGACCAGAAACACAGATTATTCTCTCCCAGTGAGAATGAACTGCTCCATAGGCAAAATGAAGAGAAATCTCACAAACATAAGGTGCAGAGAAAGAAGGCAGACACAAAGGAGGACTGTGAATCCCATTTATATCAGCTCAGAAACAGGCAAATCCATCTGTGATGTTAGAAGTCGGTATAGTGGTTCCTTTGTTGGTATGAGTAGCTGCGAGGGGCAGGAGGGCCTCGGGGTGCAGTGATGGGCTCAGTCTTTGTCCAGATGCTGCTTACACAGATGTAGACACACTTCGATGTCTGTTCACTTAGGATCTGTGACATGTATGTCTGTTATATTTCATTCAAAAGTTTCCTAAAAAATAAACAAACCAGAATGTAATTTTGTAAAGTAAGTTGTAATAGCATAAGAGTGAATTCTTCCATGCCAACCAGAAATAAACCCCTAGTGTCAGCGTGGCTGATGTCGACCCCACTGCTGCTGTTCACTGATGTGGGGGTCTTGGGAGCCCAGCTCCCCACTTCTCACATCCTCTGGTGCAGAAAATAGGGGGTGGGGTTTAATTAAAGTTTCTCCCAGAGAAGACACCTCTTCCTACCTGTTTAGGTGGAGATGGAACAGATTGAACGCTTGCTTGACCTCTCCTGTGATCTTGTAGAGGAAAGTTCTGCAGGCTTGGTGAGCCTACAGCTCAGATTTCACAGTCAAAGTGCACATACACATGTGCATACACGTGTGCACACGGGGGAGTGTTGAGCTCCTCTCAGCATCTTCTCATTACCCATCGTCAGCCTTGACTTTCCCATTCATCTCTGTCCTCATCTCATCTCCACCTCCTTGATCTTAGTAAGAGTATTTGTTTCCTGAGGTTGCCATACAAAGTATCACAGACTACATGGCTTAAGACAACAGAAAATTTTCATCTCACAATTCTGGAGGCTAGAAGTTCAAGATCAAGGTGCTGGCAACCACGACAGGATCTTTTCTGTGCCTCTCTCCTAGCTTCGGGTGGCCTCAGTGATCCTTGGCTGGGAGATGATGGATCCAATACTTCGCCTCCACTTGGCATTCTCTCATGACCTCTGTCCCTCTGTGTACATCCATGCCCAAATTTTCCCTTCTTGTTAGGGACACCAGGCATATTGGTTAGGGCTCCCCCTAATTCCCTCACCTAAACTTGATGACCTCTGTCAAGACCCTATTTCTGGGCTTCTCTGGTGGGCCAGTGGTAAAGAATCCACTTGCCAATGCAGGAGACATGAGTTCAATCCCTAGTCTGGGAAGATCCCACATGCCAGAGGGCAACTAAGCCTGTGCAACACAACTATCAAGCCTGTGCTCTAGAACTCGAGCTCTGCCACAATGAAAACCCCAAGCACTGCAGCTGGAGAGGAGCTACTGCTACCGGAAACTAGAGGAAAACCCTCCTAGCAAGGAAGACCCAAAACAGCCAGAAAAAAAATCAATCAATCAATAAAATTATTTTTAAAAAGATTCTATTTCCAAAAACAGTCATACTCGGAGGTATGAGGGGCTAGACTTTCAACATGTATTTTTTTTGGAGAACACAATTCAACTCAACATCCAGTGATTAAAAGAC